AAGGAATACACACTAACAGAAGCACTTTATATGCTTAGTACTGTAAATTCTAAATCCAAAATTTCTGGTACGTGCCCAACTATCACACACACATTTATCAATTTTGAAGATCAATATTTAAACAAGCTGTGGCCAATTCATTTTTGTGGTACTGCAGAAAGCTATTCTATTGAAGCCTTGACTGACATTCTTGTAAATGAGAATTTGTATGACCTGGCATTCACCATCGTACTGAAATTTTGGAAGGAGTCAGGAATGAAAAGGTGGATTGGTATTCTGATACATAACCTTCTTTTCCCTTGGCCTTTTACTTGTATAAATTCTTGTTCATCACTTTTACGTCTATGAACTAATCTGACTGTTGATGTTGTTTGTACTTTTCTATGATAGAGAATTGGAGCGTGTCTTTGCAGCTATTGCACAGCAATGCTGCCCAAACAGAGTAGGCAGCTCAGGGTGCGTTTAACTGTATTTTTTTCTTCTGGTTTTCAACTTTTCATCTAATCGGCAATGTATGACTATAGATTATAGTAACTGCTGTATACTAAGGAAAAAAAATACTTTTCACCTTATTACAGGAGAAATTTGACTGACACTCAACAGCTGCTACTTCTGCCTTCTTCCGAGGATGATGGATGGGATGGCAATAGCAAGACTATTGCTGTGGCCCATCAAGTGCAGGGAAGTTGCCAGTGGGAAACTCTTGAACTATATTTGGTATGTGTATTTTTGTTCTGCCTGTGTTTTATTTTGTACAACTAAAGTGATCTTTTCAAAAGAAACGAGCTTCATGCCTTCATCCCATACTAGGTTAAGTAAACCTCCTAAGTATTACATGGAAGTTTATTTTGTCGTTGACCACTGAGAGCAGTCATAACCAAAGTCACCGGCATCTTTATTCGATGCTGCGACCCACGACCCTGATCCGTGCTTCCTGTGATTGTTTATAGAATCAAAATAACTATATAGTCTTTCTTGTTCCACTTACAAGGCAAGGAAAATAAAATGTCATGGCATGGGTCAATGGCACTCTAGATTTCTGCCGCGATGTATCCCTGTCAGAGTGGACAGGATGATTGGGAGTAGAGAGAAGTGCATATTTCAACCCCGAACTCCTGCCCTGGTCTAATTTACAACCCCAAACTCCAATGCCGTCTAAATTACAACACCCAACTCTCAAAACCGGCTAGGATTCAACCCTCTCCTCTCTGTTGACCGGTTTTGACCAGTCAACAGGTCCAGTCAGCATGCCATGTCAGCAAAAAAATTTAAATCTGTAAAATCGAAAAAAATCCAGGAAAAGAAATTAGAAAAAATCAAATTTCCAGGAAAAAATCAGGGAAAAATAAAAAACGAATTTCCGAAAAACAAAATTATCAATATTTCCATGAAAAACCAAAAAATACTTAAAATAAAAAAACTCCAGGGAAAAATTTCAAATTCCCAAGAAAAATATTTAAAAATGTAAAATAAAAAAGTTAAAATTTCTAGAAAAAGTAATTTCCAAAAAAGTTATTATTTTTATTTTTTTCCCGAAAATTACAGGAAAAAGTTCTCAAAATTTTTTCGCAAACTTTTTTCCCGGGAAATTTTATTTCAGATTTTTTCTCGATCTTACAGATTTTTAATTATATTTTCTTGAAATTTTGAATTTTTTTCTGATGTGGCATGCTGATTGGACCCGTTGACTGGTCAAAACTGTTCGCCCCTGGTCAAAACCAGTCAACAAGGAGGGAAGGGTTGAATCCTGACCGGTTTTGAGAGTTGAGGGTTGTAATTTAGATGGTATTGAAGTTCGGGGTTGTAAATTAGACTAGGGCAAGAGTTCGGGGTTGAAAAATGCACTTCTCTCTTGGGAGTAAGAGATATAAGTATGTTAGTTGTCACCGTTGCTCAAGTCATTTCTGTAGCTGCATATCTGGAATGGTCACACGGCCTCGACCGTCCAGGCCTCAACTGGCACAACAGCAACGTCAGACTTGGGTGGTTGCTGCCCAGTGCCGTGCAGCGGTTTTGTTGGGGAGCAGGGAGCAGGGAGCAGGCAGGGTCTGTTGTGTTGTGGAGGGAAGAGAAATTGGGCCAAGCAAGCCCAGCTGCAAGATTATTCTCCTTTTCTTAATCTTATTTAATTTTACTTCCATTACTTTTCCGAGAAGGCGAGAACATTCTCCTTCCGTTTCGTTTATCCTTTATTTTTTAGATACACTTGGTACCCCTATAGTTGAGTAACTGGGTCATCCACTTGGATTCATTGGCGTCAAATTCCTCATTTAAAATTAGTGTCTCAGAGATTGCTGCTTTCTGTGACCCCGTTCATTGGCCAGGTTAACCTGGTATCCTGGTAACAATGATCACAACAGCAAAATGAAAAGTACTACCTACTTCTGTGCTGCTGCATTGACACAGCAGACCACCACCTGACCTTGTTTCCACCTAGTAACCACCATTGTTGGTTGGTAATTGTTCTGTCAGCAATCATAACTGGAAAAAGTGACATACTGAAATTTAACTTTGATTTTGGAGAAAATAAACTGACACCTGCTTAACCTATCGCTGTACTGCTGAAACTTGCCTATATGTTCTCCCTGAAACTACACCAAGCCTTTCGTGCTAGTAAAAAAAAAATGTATGAATGCAGCTTGTCCATGAACTGCACATATTACAGTATTTTACATGCGGCCTCATTGTGCAGGATAAATATAAAGATTTGCATCCAAGGCTGCCTGTCATTGTTGCTGAAACACTTCTTTACACTGATCCTGAGATTGAGCTACCTCTTTGGCTGGTTCAGATGTTCAAGGTGACTTCCTGTTGTACAGCCCATTAGTTTGGTTGACTTTATTGTTTGACACTGCTGACCTTCGGTTTGTTTTGCTCATTGTGTCTTTTTAGACCACCAAGGGTGGAAATAGGATGATTTCATGGGGAATGTCTGGCAAAGAGGCAGATCCAGCTGCATTATTTCGACTATATACAAATTATGGCCGGCACACAGAAGCAGCCAACTTGTTGGTGGAGTACCTCGATTCTTTTGCTTCATCGGTAATGGATTGATGGCCCGAAATATCTAAATACAAGACCTTAATGAGTACATGTAGAAATTTAAGCCCTTTGGAATCTCTCTTTTTCCAGAGACCGATGGACGTGCTGCACCGCAAAAAGATGTCGGCCGCCTGGTTCCCGTACACCACTGTCGAGAGGTTTTGGTGTCAGCTTGAAGAGATGCAAAGTGCTGGCCACAGTGCTGATCAGTGTGATAGGCTCAAGAAGTTGCTGCATGGAGCCCTGATGAACCACCTGCAGCAAGTTAGTGCATCTAGAGTAAGGTGCCTCCAGTTCTAGCCATATTCGGTGCTGACTTTATTTTGTTTGCATGGCATTTATTAGGTTGTCGTCGATTCAGAAGACGTACTGTCATCAGTTGGAGGAGGTCAAGGAGTGGAGAGCCAAAGCAGCTGAGATCATGTTGGTCGTGGATTACACAGTCCAAGCATTGTTGTATCTTGTATGTAGGTTTTGTATGTTTTCTTTTCAGAACTAGGCGGCTCTGTATGGCTGATAGTGTCTGTGATGTTCCGTTTGTAATGTGAATATGCATGGCATGTTTAAGTTCCATGTCGTTTTCTTGATGACAGATGGATGGTTAGTCAATTATATGTCCCCACTCAGTGCTTTCATCGGCAGAAGCAAAAATTAAAAGACACTCAATGTCGCCAAAAAACTGACATATTTTAACTATTTGCATCTGCAGAATTTGAAATAAGATCCTATAGTTTCTGGCAATTGGTTCCAGGATGTCTGTATGCTTTAGTGCTAAGGGCAAGTTCTTTCGGAGGTTATGGCTGGCTGTGGAAATAAGCTGCCCCCAAATTTTAGGTTGGACTTGTATAGAATATAAGCTGGGGAGGGGGCACAGCTTATTTTCAGTGAAGACTTTATTTTGGGGGGTTCAGTCAAAGCATTTACTCTGGAGTAGAAACTTGAATGTCGATATCGTTCTAGATAATTTGATTGGAAATTTTAAAATCGTGTGTATGAATGCAACAATTCTGCACCCAGGGTCAGCTGCACCTGCTGATGAACAGTAAAAAAATAGCAAGAATGTTCAAAAAATCTGAATTTTTTACACATGAAAGTTTAGAGAATCTTCTAGCTGTGCGCCAAATTTCAAGGTGTTTGGACATTTGAGAAGCTTGTGGCAAAAATAACAAATTTGGCTTGTCAAAGAAACTTTAAAAAAGTGCACCATGTACACTGAATTTACTGAATTTTATTTTCTTTCACCACGAGCTCGTCAAATGTCCAAACACCTTGAAATTTTGCACGCACCTAGAAAATTCTCTCATTTTTTATGTGTAAAAATTTCAGATTTTTAAATTTTGTTTGCTATTTTTTTTCAAATTTATTGTTCACCGGGAGCAGATGAGCCTGGACACCATTTTGAATTATCGCGTATGTATAGCTTACTTAAACTAGAGGGAGTATGGCATTTCTCCCGGTATTGTGATAGACCAAATACAGTATAGTTTATCTGGAATTTAGAATTTGTCACGGTTGTTTAGCTCAAAACGTGGTACAATTTTCACGACAAAGAGACATCATGAGAGCTAGGCAAGTCACTGGACAAGATATACCAAGGAATTTGTATTTCTGGGCACATAATCAAGAATAAAATGCACAATTACATATGAATGGGGAATTATGTACACGAGGCAATTATTCCCACGCGTATACAATTTAGATGAGTAAGAAACATGCTTCTGGGCACAATTAATTTAGATGAGTAAGAAACATGCTTCTGGGCACAATTCCTATGGCTATCTGACCCCTACACAAAAATCTTCAAAATGCTGTCTTCTGTTTATCTATTCTCCACATAAAACAACCTGACGCCACCCTTCGTTAGCCTTTTTATATACTCTCCATGCAAAATGAAAACACAAAGGAAGGAGGAAACTCCACAGGAGACATAGAAAGCTGGACAACAATAGCTTCATAGCTCAATTCATCAAATCCAGGAATACAAAACCGTTCCAAAGGCTATGAAGCACCATCGATGCCAATAGGTTGCGTGATCTGGCAAAGACGCCTCCCATCACAACCCCGAGAAATATCAACGGCAACACCCTTTGCACGTTGAAGTGCGCTAGCGCAAACGCTGCGGCACTTAGCAGGATCGACCATGGGAGAGGCATGTATCGCGTTAGAGATGGGAGAAGGAAACCACGGAATACAATCTCTTCCCATATGGGTGCACATACAGTGACTACCACTGCATACAAGGCCATTGCCACCGGGTCACGGGCCACAATGGATTGCTCTACACTGGATACCCCGGCGACTGGCCCTGATGACATATGAACTAGGCTGATGTTGATGTGAGAAAGCAAATTCACCAGTGGGAATAACAGGCACCCCAACGCTACATCCCAATGCCATCTGCCCTTCAATTTGAACTCAAACCAGCCTGGGGGAAGGGGACGGAATCTACCAAGGCACTGGTGAAGGATAGCAATCCCAGCAAGGCCTTCAGTTATGTCCGTCACAAGGCTATATAATGCTTGTCCTCTGTGCGTCAATGTTTCCTTGCTAAAGCCAGCAGCATGAGCCAAGAATGGCACTATCCAGGAACCCACAAGCCAAAATGTCGCAATCCACAAAAACATGACCTGCATTCAAAAAGTATAACTGGCTTAATACCAAATTCATCTAAACTGCTAAGAGATCATTATATTCAATCAAACATTTCCTGTTTAACTGATGTCTTTAGAAAGACAACCAATAACCACCAGGAACATTCAGCCATTCCTTTCTATTATATATGTACATAATACGCTAGCACATGCATCATAACTTATTTTTCTTTAGAGGGGAACATAATTTTATACCCAGCCTGTTTGGAGTGGCCCCTGTGTTGTGGTTGTGACTTTAGTCCCACATTAGAATTAGAGGCCTAAAGGTGAGTGACACGATTATGTAATCCTTGTTGTGTCGTCCCCCATCCCTGTTAGCCCTTTAATAAGAGGAAGCGGCAAAACTCTAAGCGGGGTGCATAAATAGCATGTCCCACGCAGGAGCTGAGTTGGGGACGACAAAAAATATTAAACAGAACATAATGGTAATGCAGAGTACCTTGTTATAACTTATAAGATCTCCTCCACAGTAAGAAAATCATAGGTGGACACGTAAGGGCAATATTAATATCTGTTTGGTGTCTCATATCATATCCAAAATAAAGTATCCACGTGGGTTCAGCATCTTATAGATCAGATTCACATTTAATATGTCTGTGTCCATATACAGAAAATCTAACGGAACAGGGACAAATTACGTTACGATAAAAACAACAGCTAGCCCTACATCCCGTAGGATATCCAGAAGATATCTGCTAATTAGCAAAATGGATGTCTGATAACACCAAACATAATAGAATAAGTAGAGAACTAACCTGGGCAATTGTTTGTCCAGTCCAAGGTACCGCCCAGCGCCCATTCCAAAATCTGAATATTGTTTCCTGTAGATTTTCCTTTATCTGCGACATAAATTCAGAATTCTCATTGATTCATAGGACAAAGTCGAAGTCTTAACAATGAAAAGGACTAACAGTTAATATCTGCTCCCTCCGTTCCGAATTATAAGATGTTCTAACTTTTGTTCTGAATAGGATGTATATAGACGTGTTTTAGTGTGTTTGTTCACTCATTTCAGTCCGTATGTAGTCCATATTGAAATATCCTAAACGTCTTATAATACGGAACAGAGGTGATAGCAAATTAGACACTAGCACTGAACAAATATGAACGCCTGAATCAATCAAATATCTAATGATAGTTGGCAATTAATTTCGAAGTATATTAACTAAGATGAGAATATTCTGCCAAATAAGTACATATCCCACAATGTTTGCAACGAGAGTAACACAAAAGGAGAACATTATGATTTATTTAGTTTTTGAGCAGTGAGAATATTAGGATTTAGTTATACTTGCGAGAGACCGTGCAAGATATCATATCATACAATAACTGGGCTTGTGAGAAAGTGTAGTGCAAGGCCCAAAAATGGCAGGTATTCATAAACTTATAAACGACAAGCACTTTTTCCTATAAATTATTTGTTAAGCTTCATGCACTGGCCAACGTAACGAAAAGTCCAAACTGATGGAAAGGGCTAGGCAATCCACATATACACATCAATACCCCCTCTCACATGTGACGCAGGAAGTTAACACGTGAATAGACTCCGAGCCTCCGAGGTATGGCTCAAGAGGCCTATACGTGGACAGAGGGGGGCAGCAGCAATTTTTGAATAAATTGTGAAAGCCAGGACTTGAACTCAAGACCTTAGGCCCTGATACCATGTTAAGCTTCATGCACTTGCCAACGCAATCAAAAGTCCGAACTGATGGAAAGGGCTAGGCAATCCACATATAAACTTCAACATTATTAAACATCGATATGATCAATTGGTCATCCAAAAGATTCCTTATAAACTCAGATAGACATGCAACCCAATACAGTAGCACAGGGGAAAAAAATATGCACAACGATAGCTATTTTCCTTCAGTCCACACATTGACTGGCACCACACAAACAGAGAAAAGCAAATGTCTATATCGGTAAGAAAATCAATTCAAGTGCAACAGCTAATTTTGTTATCAGGACGCCTCCAGTTAATGCTACTAGAAGCAATGTGATTCGTTAACTCAATTTGATGGAGTAATTCATGAAGTCTCCTTTATCGATTATGAAAAATGTTTTGCCATCTTATCTCTTAAGCTCTCAAATAGTATTTCAAGTGAGCAACTGAACATAGAAATTGGTAGTTTTTACTTCTATTGCTTCGTGCATACTGTGCTTCATTTTGCAGTATCAACCTAATATAATTTACATCTGAAATTCCTATTTGTCAAAACACAATGAAGTTGGAAAGCGAAAAACAAACCAGACAAACCTTCTGCGCTCTAACAAACCAGCCTCCATTTACATAATTCTGATCATCCGTGTTGGGGCTTCCACCGTCTTCCTCCTTCAGATCAGGGTCCCCTGAGATCTCTGCCTGCTCATTGCACTTGAAGCCGGTGCCATCACCAGATGTTGTTGACACGTCCTGATCCTGCCTGAAGCACGAGATGTGAACCGGCCTCCATCCCTAAATGCACACGAGCACAAGAAACAAAAAACAAAATAAAAATCAAATTACCGCAAACAGCATGCCATTTTGACACTAACAGAGCAAACTGATGGGTATGACATTCAGATTGGCCATGTGGACAGCAATGTTGCAGCGACAAAACCATGCACTGTGATACCCACACAAGGCTTGGCTGCTAAAATTGCCGCAGACAAGCACGACCGGCTACGCAGAAACAAAGTCAAACGGTTGAACCCGAGAGCAGGGGGTCGTTTTGGCCTTACCTTGGTGGGGGCAGCCCCGCGAGGCTTAAATCTGAGTGATGGCCTCTCGGCGGCGGCGGAGGGAGGTGGGAGCCTAACCCTACCGCAGGGGAGCCGCGGAGCGAGAGGGGCTAGGCAGGAGGTGGACGACATGCGTAATCCGCAAGACCGCAACCCGCAGAACCGATTTAAGGCAGGAGAGAGGAGGGCCGAGGGCGGCACGAGGGCTCAGGCAAGGAGGCGAACGGCGCAGCGCGACTCCGGTGACGGCGAGGCGGGGACCAGGACGCGGGCGCGTGCGCATGCGGCCAGCAGGCCACAGCAACGGTGGGGGCGCGGGCGCACCCGCGGCCGGCTAGGGCGATGAGGGGGGAGGCAAGCGAGGCTGCGCGCGAGAGACGACGGGGTGGAGCGAGCAGCGCCGAGGAATCGGGGAGAAGCGAGTGCGCCGACGGGGAGCAAGCGCCGCCGGGAGGCGCGGGCTGCTGGGACCGGGAGGATGTGCGGAGGGATTACGGTTTTTTCAGATTGGTTCATGGAACACATTTCACATGGACGTGGAGTACTTGAGCTCGATCTCAAATGAGCCCCATGAACACTAAAATAAAAAAAAAATCTGAATTTCTTTTGTGATGAACTCTGACAAATATTCTAAGTGCTTGCAAATTTTCATCATGAGATCACATTCAATGAAGGCGTGACAAAAAAATGCTTCAAGGCGTGACAAAAAAACTTTTTTTTAAATAATACATTTTTTTATTAATTTGCACAAATATTACGCCCAAAAAATGATTTTCAAAAATAATACACCGTCGGCCCACAACAGGCAGACTGGTCCTAGTCGCCCCACAGCAAGCCGACTGGGGCCTATCTGCTTGCTGTTGGCCGATTGGCCTGTCGGCCACCAGTCAAGTCTAGTTGGCCAACTGGGGGCCGACAAGGTCCAGTCGGCCTGCTGGGAGCCGACAAGAACTAATTGGCCTGCTGTGGGCCGACCGGTGCATGCATACCATATTACAGATTTTTTTGCCCCATACGATATTACGGATTTTTTTTTCGGAACTGTGACGTATTTTCGCGCAACCCTTTCCCGTCAATATTTTCCCGCCACCCGTTTCCCGCCATATGTTCCCGCCACCCGTTCCCGCCATATGTTCCCGCCAGCTCTTTCCCGTCACCCGTTTTCCGCCATATGTTCCTTCTTACTCTTTCCCGCCACCCGTTTCCCGCCATATATTCCCGCCAACTGTTTCCAGCCATTTTCTCCTCTCTACCTATAAAACCCCCTTCAGACGGAGGTGGATAAGCATTCCAGTGTAGTGTAATTGAGATGTCCCATTATCCTTTCGATCGTAGTTTTCATCCTGGGATGAGCAGGACTCTTCTGAGGCTAGCTACCGATTTCAGGATGGACAATAGGATAGTTCCATGGGACGAACTCACCGGTAGTGACACCATAATGAATGAGTTGGCTCACGAATTACGTAGGTCTGGGTGGCCTGAAAGGACCTATGAGGAGGTACGTAAAGAACTTCTTAGGTTGCATGAAAGGTGGAAGAAGGTAGTGGAGCCGAAGAGTGAAACGTTCAGAAGGACTGCAGAAAAGAATCCATTTTTATGGACCGAGGAGAGCGAGGACGAAGATGATATCTTCATGCCGCCGCTTCCGGGTTCTGCATACTCGAAGGGCAAGAGTTCTTCATCGTCGAAGGGCAAGGTTTCTGCATCGTCGAAGGGCAAGAGTTCTTCATCGTCGAAGTGCAAGGTTTCTGCATCGTCGAAGGGCAAGAGTTCTTCATCGTCGAAGGGCAAGCTTTCTTCATCATCGAAGGGCAAGAGTTCTGCATCGATGGAGGATGACGATGATGACTTCATGTAGTTTTTATGATGTATGTTGTAAGTTTAATCGTACGTACCGTTAATTTAGATGCAGTTCTATCTAGTTGTTTGTACTATCTTGTTGTACGAGCATTATGTTCTATCTAAATATGATGTTGTAGTTCGGATAACAGAGTACTAAAATAGAGTAGGCATATGTCTCATACATAAGTACACAATCATTTGTCTCATACATAGAATAGACATAAGTCTCATGCAAAAGTAGATGGTCATGTCTCTACTGATAGATGGAAGCGTCAGTGATGACGTCTGGCCTGGCGGGGAGGCGGATCTGGAAGCGGCGTCCATCCCAACCTGTTAGGTGGCCTAATGTTACGAGGAGGAATTTCAGACTCTCCCCGGTCATGCTGTGTATCCTGTGTGGGGCCTGGTGGAGGAGTTGAATACATGTTCATCCACTAGGTGTGCTGCGACATCTGAGCATGTATGTTCTCCTCGAGATGTTGATCACTCCCCCACGTATCATGTGGTGCCGACATAGACGCATGATATCCGTAGGCTGCTGCACGATGGAACGTTTAGTCATGAAGAATGAGGTCACCTCAATTAATATTGAAAACAATAAATAAGAAGACACTTACCTGCTGGTTGTGACGGCTGCTCTGGCTCAAACACGAAGCTCGACGAGGGACCGTGCTGCTGTGGCTGTGGAGAAAACACGAAGCTCGACGAGGGACTGTGCTGCTGTGGCTGTGGAGAAAACACGAAGCTCGACGTGGGACCATAGTGCTGTGGTTGCTGCCACGTTGGTCAGGACGGGGTGGCCTGGTTGTCGGCTGATGTGCTAGACATGGACGTGGTTGATGTCGGTGCATGGAGTGACGCGGCTGCTGCCGCTGGTGCTGAACAACGTCGGTTCTTCGGGTGCACGTGATAGCCTCGTACACAGTCCGTATCTTGTTCTGAGTTCGTTCCAAGAAGGGCTGTAGCACTGGACGGTGCTGAAGAAGAGGTCTAGATGACAGTGATCGTCCAAAGGTGGTCACGTCCTCGTAGAGTTCATGTGTCAAGGTAGCCTGCAAATTTCCATAACGATTAATAATGTCTGTCTCTTGCACGTCAAAGTATGTGACAACATTACTTAAAGAAAATATATCTTACCGCGTACTGCATAGAGCCCGAAGTGTCATAGCTCGGGTACATATCCGACGGAGTAGGATCCGGTATCTCCTTTGGGTGGGAGTGCTCAACGATCCGTAACCGTGTTCCGGTCATGTAGCGCCGCAAATAGAGATTGAATTCATTTAGATCAAAATTGTGATTCTCGTGCCATAGATGTGTGTTTGCTGTCTCCCATTCTATAACATACGACTCTAGTCTAACTAGCCAGTCAACAGTTGTCCTGGTCATGCCCTTCCTCGTCGTCCTAAAATTGTGGTGTGTGTTCAACAATTACCTAAAGCTTCGAATGGAGTACTATGAAAGATAATGCAACATTGAAAAACTGGTTAATACCTGTGGATGTGTGCTGGCACCGGGTTCTCTATAGGGGGAGGCAGCTCCAACTGCAGAAGGCCAAATTGCCTCATAACCCTCTATTGTGCCATCTCCTCGACGAAGACATCGAAGATGATCTTTGATTTTGTCATCCAGTAATCTCGGTCCCTTGTGCATAGCATAGATATACCACCAGGGTATCTCGCTTGTATGGCTGCTTCCGTGTAGGGCTGCCAGATGACCCCGGTGTACGCATCGAACTGCTCGTTCAATGCTGTGTATGCCTTCCTGGTCTGATCACTAGCAAAGCGTCTCTGCAGAAAACAAAAGTTAGTAGCCGCTAGCATCGAACTATCTCTTGTGCAGAAAAAAGTTGCATTAAACTATAACACGGTGCATACCTCGTGACGTGTCCAACACAGACCGAAAGTAGGCATGTCGATGCCGTCAACATCAAACATGGCGTCTATAGGCTCACGAACACGTACATCTGGTTGCCCTATAGAGAACCTCTCCCACGACCACAACTGTAGGAATAGAGGGCATCCAAGAAGGGCTGGCTTTCTCGATGTAAGCTAGCAACCGTTGCACATACCTCGCCCCAACTCCTCTGTCTGATCTGATCCGCCGTCTGAGCGCTCGCTATCTCGAGTGCCATAGGGATGTAGAGCGCGCTAATAGTGGTGACATGGTTCTCTGTGAACATCACCTTGCCGAAAAGCCACATTAAGTAGGCCTTCAGGCTCCTGAGTGATCTGTTCGGCAGTCAACGACGCCCGGAAGTTCTGAATCTGCATTAAGCAAAGAGAAAGTTTTAGTAAGCCGCAACTATTTTCTGTAAAACCGTATGCACGATAACTTGAAGATAAGAGGTAGGGTAAATTACCCGGAAATTGAGCAACCACTCATACTTAGGTCCGTGATGCTCCCATACCGGATCCGGAGCATCCGGAAAACACCATGAAAACGTTGTGTAAGAGCTTGCTCCCAACCAGCCGGTGCATCAAACGGTCCTATGGCATGACCTGCCAACGATAGTCTGAGCAAAAGTGACTCATCCTCCAGAGTAGGAGCCATCTCTCCCCATCGGAAGTGAAACGTGTGGGTCTCTGGCCTCCAACGGTCCACTAAGCAGCTCAGCAAGGACCCGTCGATGGCGAGGCATTTCTCACCCGGGATAGACTCAAAAAGACACGCGAAAGGTAAAAGGCCGGCCCATTTCAACCTTCATCAGAGAACATTTCAGTTAGTGTCTCCCATTAATATGCATGTCAGTGTGCAAATTAATAAAGCACGTACCGCTGAAGCCATCCTGGGTGTATCATCCAGTTTTCCTTAGGAGTGCGAGTGACCAGAGGCTCAAGCTTGCGCTCATACCATATCGCACCACGATGACCCCTATCAATGTTCCCATTCAGCAACCACATTCCCGACATTCCTGCACATAAAAAATTCAGAACATAGCGCCACACTAAATACAAATTCATAACATAGTGTCACACTTAATAAAAATTCAGAACATAGTGCGACACTTAATACAAATTCATAACATAGTGTCACACTTAATACAAATTCAGAACATAGTGTCACACTTAATACAAATTCAGAACATAGTGCCACACTTAATAAAAATTTAGAACATAGTGCCACACTTAATACAAATTCAGAACATACTACTGCTAGCTTAGCTTCTTCCTCTCGCCCTTACTCCTCTACTGCCTCTACCTCCTCTTCTTCCCCGGTTGCCTCGTCCACGCCCAGTGACGAAAGTGGGACAATTAGTATCCCTATGGCCAAATTCATTGCATAGAATGCAT